ACTTAAAACAATTAAATATTTACTTCCAAAAATAATGAATTAAATATGTTTAACAAACAATTCAATATATTTGTCCATCAATGATTATTAGAATTATAATAAATTAATATCTAAGTTAATCAATTATTATAATTCTTATGTCATTGATTATGCGAATAACAATTGTCACGAAAAAAACAATATGCTTAGCGGCCATTATCAAACTCAACCAATAACTATAAATGTGTTTAAAAAATATTTTAAAACACAAATCACCCCATAACTTATTAAAGTGATACAATTAAACCCCTAAAATATTGTAAAATACACAATCATTCTTGGCTATAAACTCGTTACAAATGTAGAAATGTTGCAATTTAACTTCAAATTTTTTTAATTCTCTAGGATACGAAAGTTAAAATAAATGGCGTGTTTGGTTAGTGATTTGAAAAACATTAAAAAAAAATAGAGTCGTAGTTCATGCATACTTTAAATGTTTTCGAATGTGTTTGATAGCAGATTTGAAAAATTCGATCTTAATTTAAAAAAATGTTCAAATGGTATGCTTAGTAATATATTTGTAAACTTTTTGACAGCCATCAACTAAATATTTAGTTCACTCTAAAACATTATTAAATAATTAATTAACATATATGTTATTTATTTTTGTATAGTTATTAGTTTAGAATTTATAGATTCTAATTTTAACGAAAATAAAATGAGTTTGTAAGATGAAACAAGTTTTTATTTTTCTAATGATACCTTACATTTTAAAATTTTAAATTTGAAAATATCGAAAAAGTAAAAGCGTTCATCTTCTTAGTACAACATGCGGGTGAGATATCAAACTTATAACCTCTTAATTGTAAATATATGTTAAATTATACTCACTTTGACCAAAACGTAAAATTGTTGATCTCAGAATTTAAACTATTTGTATTATAGAATCGAGTAACAGTTTAAAAAAGAAACAAACAAATTGCATGCCAATCTGAGCCATTTTAACAATTTTTGGAAAGATTAAAAAGGAGTGAAGACTGTGGAGTATATAATACTGAGACCGAGTGACTTTTGACCATTGAAAAAGGTAAATTCGGTCAGTTACCAGTTACCAGTTTAACTTTACCGTGCACTGAATCATCCAACCGTAGTACAGAAACCGCATGCGATCTGGCAGCACCTGTCTCGTACGCGCTCAATAAAGCGCGTCGATATATCTTCCACTTTTTCTTTTTTATTTTTTTCCGAATTGGAATCTCACTTTCTATTAAAACAAAAATAAAAAAATAAAACACAGATTCTACGGCTTCCAAGGCGACCCCGACGCGCGTCGCGTCAACACACAATTTCAGACGTCATCATTTGAAAAATACAACACCAACACGTAATTTAATTTAATTAATTACGGGAAGAAGAATTTATTCGTTTCCACAAAATAAGAAAAAGGGATAAAATTCGGATTAATTTTATGTCAATCTGAAAGAGGAAAAAAAGAAAGGAAAGAGGGAAATTTTGGTAGAAGGCGCGTGGAGCAGACGTGGGAGAAGGGAGAGTGGAGCATAGGAAAACGAAAGGCTAAACCTAACTCTACATTGTACTTTATTTAACTCTAAGTTAATTCTTTTTACTTACGTACCCCTCTGAACCTGGTCTACTTCAATCCACATTTCAGCCACCCAATTTTTTATTTTTTGTTTTTGTCAAATTAGCAATACAATAATATTATCAATTTAACACACAACGGATTTTAATTTAATATGTGGTACTTGGTATTATAAAATTTGAAAACAATATTCATTTGTATTCATTAATGGGTCGATTTTAACTTTCCATTTATATCAAACTATAAAATTGTTTTTTGTTTTTTCTGTTTAAGAGAAAAAAGTAATTATTTGGTAATTATTTTCTTCATTATTTTCTTTCTTTTTCACGTAAAGAAACTGAAAGGTGTTTGATAGTCCTTTGTTGTTTTTTTTTTTACTAACTAAAGTTTAAATTAAAAAAAAAATTAAAAGTTTTATTGGAAAATTAATTTTTTAAAAATCAAATATAAAAATTATTTTATTAAATTTGTTTTAGTTACGAGAAGTGTTATCAAAATAAGAGAGGAGAAGCATATACCATTATCAAACAAACTTGTTGGAGGCTATTTACCGCCTGCCACGTGTGGACGAGAAAAAGGTATTTCCATGAATGTTGATTATTAATATTGAAGTCCTTTGGGGTTGGCGCATATTTGCCGAGCCGACCTCCTGGATACTTTATTCGGTCAACCTGACGGAGGTCCGAGCTGACCTATAAGAAGATATTCACACGAATGTTGGCAACACCATTCTCCGACAACACGCCTTGTTTAACGGGCAGTTCGTTGACTGTTATGTCATTGTCGGAAGCCCTATCGAAGATCATCCCTATAAAGAGGAATGCATGCCCCTTATACAAAGTACGTGAATCTATTTGCATTCTGAACGTTAGATTGGACTGTGACTGACTTGCTCGTCGGAGTACTAATTTTGTTTTGCAGTTCTTCGGAAGAGCAAGGTAGATCGTCTCGTGGGTGTCGATCTCGAAGGATTCCAAACTTGATCATTTTTTGATCAAACAAAACTACTAATAATTCAACAAATTAAAGTATCCCTCCACCGCCAAATCACCTCAATTAAACAAAAGTAAGAGGGGTAAATAGGGCGATCAAAATCGACTCTATGACCAAGCTTGGATAATAAAAAGAATAACCAAGGTCAAACTTAGAATTTTGAAAACTGGTGGGTCATGCCTAACTACCAAAAACAGAAAAAAGTCTTATGCTTTGCTACAAATTTTTTTAATTTAAATATACGAAATGGTTCCTAATTTTTTTAGGCAATTCTCAATATGACTTCAATTTTCTGAAATTCTCACGTGTATCTTTAATGGGTTAAAAAATTGTTCTTTCCATTAACATATATTAAAATTTGTTAACAAAAACTCATTAAAATATCGCTTTACTAATATATTTGAACATTTAGGCATGAAATCTTATTAATGAATAGTGGAGTTCGTTTTCATGTATCAATTAATATCTAGATTTTATGCTTACGTGTTTAAATATTTTAATAGAATTTGATCCATCAACTTTTTATTAACTATTTTCTATGCCTATTTATTGGATTTAAAGATAATTTTAATTTGAAAAAGTTAAATACTACGCTTAACTTTGGACTCCTTCAAGTAAATGATCAAATTTTGGATCTTTATGGTTATATTTCCCATGATATGAGGATAAAGATTTCTGTTACTCAATTTTAGTCAAACAATTAACTAGTGGCCCATCGTATTAAGAGGTCAAAGGTAAGATCGGGTAACACCAAAAGTAAGAGTGGAGAGAGTATATGGAGAACGAATGATTATCAATTAGATAAGAAGTGTTAAACACAACGTATAGCAAAAAAAATACACTCTAATACTAAAGTCAACCTAAGTCGAAAATTCGACTGAATTTTAAAGTAGTCGAAAAACTTAGTTTAGTATTAGCACGTGCCCTTCATATGGAGATAGTATAGAAGTGTCTCGTCATTAAACATCATTCAATTATACAAATATTAATGATCCAATAGTGGCGAAGGTACTTATGAAATATAGTTAGGTCCTAGTTTTATGCATGGGTTTCTCACCCTCGAGTACAGAGCTCTTTCCTTTCGGATCTTGCTTTCACCCCCTAACATTGAAGACTTACATTCGTAGTCTACTTTGCTTGAAGTGCCCGTTTTTAGCCTAGTATGTAGACGGAATCGCTTTCCAATTAAGAGGAGTTGCTCTGTCATTAGCAAAACATGTAATTAGTACCCAACTTCATTAGAGCACCTCGAAAAAATCTCGGCTTGTAGAAGGCAACCTTGAAGCTACATTTAACTCATCTGGTAGGTTAACTTGCTACTCAAACCACTTGGTCCCCTATTGCATCTCGACTTCACCTAATAGAATTGGACAAAGTCGCTTTTAAATCGGTGTAGTCTACTCTGTATTGTTGATTGTAATATTCACATTGTATTATCTCGATTATTATTTATCTTAAAAAACAAAAAACTATAACAAAGGTTATCATCGATATCTTATATCATATTTTGTTTGCTCAAGTGACGTAAAAATTTAATAAAGGATCGTACAGCGACTTTTAAATTTAAATCTAGTTTTGTTGACATGAAATGGATAAATTCATTGAGAAATGTAAAATTTAAAGAAAGAGGGAGAGACRTTTGCAACCTAAGGAAGTGGCGATATTTTGAAAATCTCACGGAATGAAAAAGAAAATTTTCAAAAAAATTTAAAAGAGTTAAAAAAGATGGTTTAAATACTATTTTAGTAATTAGTAATTTTACTCTAGTCTTTTGGTTCATTTTAGCCTTTCAAAATTCAAAACGTTCATTTTTGTTGGTTCATTTTATTCATACATAAAAAATGTCTATTTTGACATTTCTACTTAAAAACAAGTTTATATATATAAAACTTTAACACAAATTTTATTGACATTAACAATCTTTTAATTCAAATTTATGAACTTATTTAAAAAATTTTAATGAGTAAAGTATCATAAAAAATGAGATTACGAAACGAGATAAAAATAAAAAAGAATGAATCAAACTAATCACCTTCTAAAAACCGAAAATTAACGTTTTTAGAGTTAAAAATACTAAATAAAATGAAAGATTAAAATAAACTAAAATCGACACAAATGGTATTTAAATAAGGGAAGAAGGGAGATGAGAATTAAGAAAATAATAAAATAATGAAGAAAAGAAAGCAACAAAAAAAAAGGAAAAAAAAAAGGATAGGATGGGTTTTAAAGATCTTTGTTGTTTTGCTGGCTCCTGAAGATACACTCTCACTCTTTCTTCAGATCCGAAGAAAAAGGTAAGAAATCCCTTTATTTTATCTTCTCTGTTTTCTTCTCTTCTACTAATTTTTCATTATTTTTTTTTTATAAAAAAGTTTTAATTTTTACTCCTGCTCTCTGTTTTTGGACTCTTGCATGATCTGATAATCCAAAAGGTGCCCTCTCTCTCTCTCTCCGCTTCTGCGTGCTCTGTCTGTGAGTGTCTACGGCTTTTTATCTGCTTCTATGTCGGCCATCGACTCATTGATTGAATCTTTGAACAATAACAACAACAAAAACCAACACCCAGAACGCCAATACCACCACCACTCTCTCTAATTTCCCAATTCCCTTTTCCTTTCTTTATCCTTTGTAGGGTTTTTCCAGGAATTGCCACACGGATTTCGCCGCGGGGGCGACGATCGCGGAGTGGGATTACTGGGTCTGATTCTGCGTTTGGATCTTGATATTTTTTTCTCTTTGATTGTTTCGGATTCTGTGCGAGTTTGGGAGAGGAAACAGAGTGTGATTTTTTATTTTTTATTTTTAAAATTTCCTGTTTCGAAGAGAGCATTTGACCCAATTCGAGTTCATGGATTTTGGGCTGAAATCTGGAGGTGTCTGAAGTGGTCAAAGCATGGCGAAGAAGCAATCCCTGCGAATTTGGTGAAAGTTAGGTTTCTGGAACTCTGGAATTTTGGTTGATTTATAGACGGTGAATTCCGGAGAACAGTGCAAATGGAGATTCTGGAGACCTTTTACGTTCTTCGTCCAGCAATGTTCAGTTTCTGAGAACATCGGAATTCAAGTTCTGGGTTCCCTCTCTTTTTCTTGTTTCTTGGATGGTCGACGAGAACAGTTATTTATGTTCTATAAGGTGAGAAAATTACGCTTCGTTTACTTGATTCAATTTTTTGAATGCTGGTTTTCTCATGCGGTGATTTTCCTGGTTGCAGAGCTCCAGAACGGCCTTTTTTTTATGAAAGCTGATTGATTACCTCCGATTGAGATGATTACGTTTATGGATTCGAAAGAGAAAGTGAAGGAGATGGAGAAATGCTTAGATCCTCAGCTATGGCATGCCTGTGCTGGAGGAATGGTTCAAATGCCGCCGGTGAACGCCAAGGTTTTCTATTTCCCTCAAGGCCACGCCGAGCATGCTTGCGCGCCAGTTGATTTCAGGAACTGTCCTAAAGTTCCTCCATACACCCTTTGCAGAGTTTCTGCCATCAAGTTCCTTGCCGATCCCGACACTGATGAGGTCTTTGCGAAAGTTCGGTTGACCCCCGTTAATGGGAGCGAGCTCGATTTTGAAGATGATGGAATTGGGAGGCTTAATGGGTCTGAACAAGATAAGCCAACTTCATTTGCCAAGACATTGACTCAGTCTGATGCAAACAATGGTGGGGGTTTCTCTGTTCCGAGGTATTGTGCAGAAACAATCTTCCCTCGGTTGGACTACTCGGCTGATCCACCGGTTCAGACGATCCTTGCTAAGGATGTTCATGGTGAGACATGGAAATTTAGGCACATTTACAGGGGGACGCCTCGGCGTCATCTTTTGACCACTGGGTGGAGTACTTTTGTTAACCATAAGAAGCTTGTTGCGGGTGATTCCATTGTTTTCTTGAGGGCGGAGAATGGAGATCTCTGCGTCGGGATTAGACGAGCGAAGAGGGGGATTGGAGATGGATTGGAGACGTCGTGTGGATGGAATCCTGCAGGTGGGAACTGCACTGTTCCCTGCGGAGCATTCTCGGCGTTTTTGAGGGAAGATGAAAATAGACTGACGAGGTCTGCTAATGGCTTGAATGGAAATGGAAGCCTAATGGGGAAGGGGAAAGTGAAGCCTGAATCAGTTATTGAAGCTGCTACACTTGCTGCGAATGGGCAGACATTTGAAATAGTGTACTACCCGAGAGCTAGTACTCCTGAGTTCTGTGTTAAGGCAGCACTGGTGAAAGCAGCATTGCAGATCCGGTGGTGCTCCGGCATGAGGTTCAAGATGGCCTTTGAAACCGAGGACTCTTCACGGATAAGCTGGTTCATGGGTACCATTAACTCGGTTCAGGTTGCCGACCCAGTGCGCTGGTCTGAGTCACCATGGAGGCTTCTACAGGTAACCACTGTTCTTTTTCTCCTTATCTGCATCCATTACAAAGAATCAATATACTCTGAACCTTATGTTTTAGGAATGAATATTGTCTGCTTAAGAACCATTGATGTGTATAAGCTGTATGCCTGTCAAGATCATTTGCAGCTTACCCTTTAAATTGGAAAATGTACCAGCAAGATTTAAGCTAACACAACATTTCTGATTTCATTCAATTGGTTCTTTATGATGATTCAATGGGTTCATGGAAGACGATCGCTACCATCGCATTTGCTAACTACACATACTATGCAGGTTACTTGGGATGAACCGGATTTACTTCAGAATGTGAAACGTGTAAGCCYATGGTTGGTCGAATTGGTGTCGAACATGTCTCCTATTCACCTCGCCCCCTTCTCACCTCCGAGGAAGAAGTTTAGATATCCACAACACCCTGATTTCCCCCTCGATAACCAGCCTTCTATGCCGTCGTTCTCTAGTTATCTCCATGGGCCCGGCAGCCCCTTCGGTTGTCCTCCCGACAACAACCCTGCTGGCATGCAGGGAGCCAGGCATGCTCATTTTGGTCTATCCTTGTCAGATTTCCATCTCAGTAAACTGCAGTCAGGTCTATTTCCGGTTGGTTATCGATCACTGGATCCAGCTGCTGGATCAACTAGACTTTCTGGTAATGCAATGACTGAAAAGCCAAGTATGAGTGAAAACGTATCTTGCTTGCTAACCATGGCACATTCTACTACTCAAGCGTCAAAGAAATTTGATGGCATAAAGACTCCCCAGCTAATCCTTTTTGGCCGACCGATTCTTACGGAGTTGCAGATGTCTCAGAGCTGCTCTGGTGATACCGTTTCTCCAGTTGGTACTGGAAATAGTTCATCAGATGGAAATGGAGATAAAATGGCGAATTTCTCCGATGGTTCTGGATCTGCTCTGCATCAACAAGGTGTTGCAGAACGCTCCTCTTGCGAAAACTTCCAATGGTACAAGGACAATCGCCAAGAAGTTGAGCCTAACTTGGATACTGGTCACTGTAAAGTGTTTATGGAATCAGAAGACGTAGGTCGCACTCTTGATCTTTCTTCTCTTGGATCGTACGAAGAATTGTACAGAAAACTCGGAAACATGTTCGGTATAGATAATTCAGAGACGTTAAACCACATCTTGTACCGTGATGTTTCCGGTGCTGTCAAGCATGTTGGTGACGAACAATTCAGGTATGTCGCTGCTGGAAAAATTGTTACAAAAGTTGTCGTTTACATTACATATCTCGGTGAATTAACTCGTGGTTTTCTATTTCAGCGAGTTCATCAAGACAGCAAGGAGATTGACGATTCTAACAGATTCAGGAAGTAACAATGTAGGAGCTTAGAGGAAGAATAAAAGTTGATTTAAAAGTGTACAGCTGGTCGATATCAGGTCCTTCATTTCCCTGCTGACCTTTCTCTGTTTGAAATCTGGGAGCTGCTAAGATTGGACGCGTTTTTAAACTCTGAAGGCTCATATTTTTCGTCTTACTTGAAATTTAAATTATTAATTTTTTTCTTTCCCAAACCAACTTCTGGAGGGAATGTTTGAATTTTGGAGCTTGCTTACATCCTCATGGCTGTGTGATAAACTTTGTGGGGTTTCTTTTTGGGATCTTTTTAGGAGGTTAGTTCTTATTATAAGTGGAAGTGATTTGAAAAGTATTGGGAATGGGAATGTGTGTTTGTAAGAGAAGCATTATTGTGAAATGAAATGTGATAATGAGTTGGAAGTTCAAAAGATTTCTCAGTTTCTTCATTACTATTTACTACTACTGCTGATGAATTGATTGGAGCCAAAAGAAAAGAAAGAAAGAAGAAATTGCATTTGATGAAGACGAGACAAAAGGGCTTTATTTGAAACCCTTTTATTGTAAAAGTTAATATTATGCACTAGTTTGGAGTTTGTTGAATTGAATGCCATTCCCCAAAAGATAGGGAATCCAAAAGTTTCAAAACCTAACACCCATCTTTTGCTCTCTCTCTTTCATGCAAAAATAAAGAAAGTGRTGTTCACTTTTCGGTGTATGACCAAAATGAAAGAAGCAAATTTAACCCTCGTGGTAGACCATTGGACTTGTGTAACAATCAAATATAGTAGGGTCAGGTCAGGTAGTTTAACAGATTGGTGGTGAGAAATCTTCTTTAAAATAGTTTGCAAGAAATCATTTTGGAGAGGAAATTAAGTGTAATTTTTTGGGGGTTGGAATAAAAATACGGAGAAATGTGTGTTTAGTTTAGTGGCGCATGTGTGGGGATTAATTATTGTAATAATAAAAATAAAAATATGATTTGTTTTTCTAGGGATTGAGGATCATCAATATCATAAGACAAACACAAAGTCAAAACTAATATTTGGTTCAAAGTTGAAATTGTGACAAACGAAATAAATAAATAAATAAAAACATATTACATGGTGCTGAGTTGGCGAAGTTAGAAGCGATGGCACACGTGAGAATGTGGGACCGGTGGGTGCTTACGTGGCGAGTTCAGTAAAGATTCACGTGTGGATGACGTCATAGGCGGAGGGGATGGCTCGCTGCTTGTGTCGCGGCGTTTCGTTGAGCGGACTGTTTGGCTTTGGTTTTACATTTTCCTTTTCGTTTTATTATTAAATATTATTCTTTTTAGATGGTTTCCGTTTGTTTATTTATTTTATTTTTCCGGCTTTGACCGTGAACATTGGAGTGGGCGGGCACACCCGCCAGGATCCGAACCCGCTTTTCGGGTCCGACCAACGAAATGTCCTCTTAGTCCTCCGGATGGCGTGGAATGTCCCTGTGATTTCAATCAACCATCTCAATTGTTAGATACTTTTTAAAAAGTTGTAAATTTACCCCCACACAATATCGAAAAGATTAAGGTTTTATTAGACACAAAATTTGAATCATCCAACAACTATTTACCAATGCAATCTATTTTTTATTTTCAGATTTAATGGATTTAGTGAATATCTATTTGGAGATTTCTTTTAAAAAATTGTTTTCCAATTCTGTGATCTAAATAGTGAAAATTTTAAAAGCATTATTCATATCTTTTTAGTGTTTTTTCAGATTTTTAAATTCATTTCTTTGGTTAAAATTAAAAAATGTAAAATATAATAAATTATAAAACATTTAATATTGTCAAAATAAAATTATACAAAATTTATAAAATAGATTAATAAATTAATTAATATTATTTTATATTTAACTAAATATCTAGCGGGTAACTACCACTCCTTTACAAATATAYGACTAAACACTTTGAACATTTTTCTTTTAAAAAATCGATCTCAAATCTAATAACAAACACATATCTATAAATATTGAAAAATGTACTAATACAAATTAGTTTTTTATTGAATCATTTATTTTTCAGATTTTTGTTTTTAGATTACCAACTAAAAGCACCCTAAATTTTTAAAAATATTGAATAGGTTAAAGACCTATATAAGACATAAAAATTCGAAGTTACGTTTAAGACACTTAAAAAATAAATAAGTTGGAGAAARATATTAACCATTTTTAAAAAAACATTAGTCAATGCATATTTGAAATATTTATTTGTCAAATAATTACAGCAAAGTAACTAGAAAAATTAAAAGGGTTACTATTTTCTAAAGTGAAATGGGATATTTTTAGCCAAAGATATCAAGATGAGATTTAAAACAATATTTCATCAAAAACATTATTTAAAGGACATATTTGGCAAAACAGTAAACACATTATCCCAAATATTACAGCTGAAACAGTGGGATTTGGGATGACAACCACAGATTATTATTGCAAAATTACCACAAAACAATGCTCAAAATCAACACACAGGTTCCCTTCCCAAAGTAATTAAATAAGAAAAAGAAATTGTGAAAAATCTTCCCTTTGTTTTAGTTTCCTCTTTTTCCCACAAAATACGGCACCGTTTCTGCAAATAGCTAGCTAGAGAGACCAACAAAATCATGTTCATGTGTTTGTGTTGTTAGGGTTTCCTTTGCTTGTGGCTTCAGTCTTAATTAAACAACTGTCAGTTTCAGTTCTTGAAATGAACCATATGAAACAATACATATAGATGTGCTTTCTTCTTAAATTCTTTTCTTTTTAGGGTTTTTGAGAGATCCAAGTCCTGTAAACAAGGCAGCGTTGATGGAAAAAACATTATTTTTGTTTATTTTACAATTCATCTCCAGTAAACTAAAGTTTCATTGAAACGGTGCTAGAGTACTCTGCCGTTTTGAATGAAATGGGAGGCCAATTGAACTCGGGAGTTCAAACGTGACAAGACGGGTAGCGAACAGGAGAAAGACATGACTTTGGCCCGAAAAATCGAAGGAGGCGATAACTTGTTGGTGACAACTTGAGCACCCAACCTTGGTTCTTCTGGATTCCTTAAACAGTGATTTAGCTTACATGAAAATAGATCAAAACATATTATATTTATCTTTTTTAAAGTTGTAAGTTTGAAGCTTTATTCTCGTTTGAATTTTCAAAGAATAAAAAGAGAACTCCAATATCATATACCACATCTCATAATCTTTAAATAGTGCATGAACCTCGAAAAGAAACATCTTCTCTTCTCATCTCTAACTATCAGATAATATAGTAAAAATGTGGCACCCATTTCTAAATATTATCTTAATTGCAAAAATGTTTACATTGATTTTTTAAAATTTAGATTTCATTTGATAAAGATTTTTTTTTAATTTCCTATTTTTAAAAAATTGAAATTGCTTGGAAATTTAGCAAAGTTTTTTTTTTTAATCTCATAAAAGCAAATAAAACTCGCATGATTTGTTAATGCACATGGCTACATATCTCTCTCTCTCTCTCTCCGATCTCTTTCTTCTTCATTAATTATAAATAAATATGATTTTCCTCAATTTTTTAAACCTCGCACATATATATAAAGATTATAAAGTACAAAAGATTTTCAATGAAAACTTTAATGAAATAAATATAGAATCACTAGATTATTAAAAAAAATGTTTTTAAACAGCTATAAGAGTTCTTAAAGGTTACACTTATTTTAAACTAAGTTGACAACTCAATAAAATTATCACCATATTCATCAAAATTAAATTTTTATAAATTGAAACTCTTGGGCAGATGGAAAAATAGAAGGGTCATAATTAAAAGTTAAACCATTTAGCTTCCATTTGGTCATTAAAAATATTTTTAAAATTTTCCACTAACATTTGGTTACAGCTTAAAAAACATGTGAAATAATTTAAAAGTTATTTTTTCTAATTATTATTTAGTGGAGTTTGCTTTATTTTTATAATTCTGTTGATATATAATTAAGGTAGTACCAAGTACAAGCTAGGTTGGACATGTCCTTATGCAAAAGGGCCACCCTACCCTACCCTTTTGGGCCCATTTCTTTATTATCAGTTATCACTTTTGACACTCCAATTCTGASGTCACTTTTTATGTCTTGTACAATAATGATTTTAGTTTTATTTTCCTTAATTTTAGAAAAAGAAATAAGATTGATCCTTTTAATTATAACATTATGTTTTATAATCTACTACTTGAAATTGTTTTTTGAATTTTAAGGTTTTAGCTCGATGGACTAAAATCTATCTACTTCTTCACCTAACGTACCATAATGTGGTGAAATTACTTGTAATATGTGACATTAGAACTGCATATGGATTTGAGAGGAAGATACGTTTAAATCACATCCATTTATTCAATAAATATCTAGCTTAAAACATCTTGATTTGGACTTAGTGAGGCGTGATCCTTTCGTCGCAACCATTTTCAATTACCTTCGACTATTGTGTGATAGTTAGGATAACAATGTTACTCGAACAATTGAAATATTCCTTATTAGGAAGTTGCCAATCTAATAGTATATTCCATGTTGATCAGCACAATTCTTGGAACTAGAAGTTTTGGATTAAGACTACGTATTTTTACATAATTAACATTTTTCTATGTTAGCAACACAATTACCTTAACTCTATAYGTATCAGTTAACTTTTAATAGCAGCTATAAATACGTTTTGACACTTAACTTTTCAAGTATTAACTTTGTCACCACCATTTTTCTTTGGTAAAATATGTCCAATCTCTTACGCTAAAAGCAAACAATCACGGGGACAAACTTTTAGACAAATCCACTAAACATAAATTAAGCTCAACTAACAAGAACATGGATGAAACATAGTAAAGAGAATAAAAATAGATATAACTATAATGGTTCAATTTAAAAACAATCTACATCCACTTGAGGCCATTTTGCCATATTTGGTTAGAACTCTAATTAGAAGAAGAACAGTCTAATAAAATGAAGTTCCTACCACCTTAATTTGCATCATCCAAAACTTGAATGTAATCGGCTAATAATAACAACAAACGAAAGAGCTAAAATGTGCAATTAAACTAGATAAGATGGCCAACAAATAAGCAACACATAACTCAATAAACTATCGTCAATATGATCATAACTCAATTGATTAAGATACTTATATTCATCCAAAACATCGTACATTCGACTAACATCGTTTTTACTCGTTCTCTCAAACACACTATCCTGAGGATCAAAGTTTCCTTTATCCTCCCAACCCATTACATGGATATTTTTTTCCTCTAGGACTAAAGAGAGAGAAAAAAAATCTCGTTTGTAGGACCAACTTGACATGAAGCCTACTTTTTGGAGGGTAAAAAAAAAGGCAAGCAACAACCTTATTTATGAGGTGTCCGGGCGGTATGGTTTTGGTGAAATTGACCCATTATGTGAATTTGTGAACAGACGATTATTTTTGRATGGGGCATGCAAAATGGCAATATTATTTATTGGTATCCGAAACATCACCCGTGCGGTAGGCCCCACATTCCTGCCACAACTCACCACTCTCGAACGACATCCCATTCCCAGCACAAAACTATGCCGACACTTCGCTTCTTCGTGACTCCGAAAGCGACATGTCGCATTTACTTTTGGCTTTTTGTTTAATTAGGTAAGTTTCGAAAATTGTAATTACTTTTTCAAAAACAAATTAATTTGAAAAATGGCTATGGGCCGTCTAAAATGAAAGCCCAATAAACTTTTGGATTTCACAAATTGGAAGTGGGCCGGCCCACGCTCGGATGTGGTTCCTTTCCCTTTCCCGGAGTGAGCTTAGAGCTGTGTCTGATTTCGATGGAGAAGATGACAACTTCATGGACTGTGGATCTTCCCTTCCATCTCTGATTGCAATTTGCAGACAACCTACGGCCTTCAACTGAGAATCTAAACTTCTCCGTCTTTCTCCGGTGCGGTGCCGGCTCAGCTGCGACCGATTAGGGTTCCGAATTATGGAGTGAATGTAAAGAGCTTTTGTTGCAGCACGGTGGTTGAAGAGTTGGATTGCTGTAGACCGCGATGAACGTGAGCCGGCCATCGGTGCATCCAGTGGAAGCGCCGCCGCTGACGGATGGAGCGGCACACAATGCGCCGAGAGTCAGGATGAAGGATGTGCACGGCATGCCTGGTACACTAGGTGGACTTGCTCTCCGTCTCCTTCAGTTCATTTTTGCTGCAGTTTCTCTCTGTGTTATGGCCACCACCAGTGACTTCCCGTCCGTCACGGCGTTTAAGTACGTAATTCTTGAATTTCTGTCTGATACTCTCAGGTTCTATGTAATTTTTTGATATTGTCGTAGTAATGATCTTCAAATATTCGCTTTGAAGTATGGATGCTGATTAAATTAAGACATATTTAGCGTGATTTGGACGTCGTTCTGAATATTTCATCCATAAAGAATCAGAAAACATTTATCGTTTCTTAGAGGAACAAAGAAAGCTATAGCCGAACCTAAAAATGCGCGTTCCTTCGTCTTGTCTTGCTGGAGATTTCGCTCAAGGAAACTTGTTTGGTCATTGTGCTGTGTCAAATATATTTAGCAGTCAACTTTTTCATTTCTGTTGATGGTGGTAGCAAGCAGTAACTTGTATTCTCTATCCCCTAGGTTTTGGTTTTAGCTTTTAAATATGTTGTGAGCAGTGATGGAGCAATCGAGAATGGTGGGAAGTACGTATTTACATGTCGAAATTAGAAAACTTGTCGCCTGGGATTTTATTATTATTAGTGTTGTATTATTTTCCCAACAGAGTGGATAAGAGATACACCTATTGAAATCTGTATCTTGTTTCAGAACATAGCCAATTGGTTTTTGGTTGATTCTTTATTCCATAAGTTCATTTCCAATGAAAAGTTTGTTTTTTTTGTACGTTTCATGTCAGTTCCAACAACACCGTCACACCATCTGTGATCAAGATACTTTTCTTTAAAATTTTAATTTCTAGTTTATAGAATTTGTTCTGTTTTTCTTTTCGTAATTTTCCTGTTTATTTGGTTACTACCAATATACGTTTGTTGTAACCTTGCTTGGCTTGGTTTTTAAGAGTTGAGAGGATGTCTCATTCTCTTCTCTCGTACTTTTCTCTCTGATGCCAAAAAATTACTCTCTTTTAAAAGAAGTTGTCTGTTGGATAATGTTATTCATGGTTAAGAGTTGTGATTTTAAGATGTGCTATATGTTTGATCCTTCAACTTTATGTTCAATTATTCATAATGGAATTATTATCACTTTACATTTCGTCTCAGATATCTTGTTGCTGCTGTAAGCTTGCAATGCTTGTGGAGCTTTTTATTGGCAGTAGTTGATGCATATGCCTTATTAGTTAGACGAAGCTTGCGGAACTGCACAATAGTTGGTTTGTTCACTGTCGGTGATGCGGTAAGAATATTTTGCTTGCCAGGCTTCCAATCTCACATTATAGATCTGTTTGCATATAGATTTGTAGTCTGATATGTCATGTGCAATCCAGGTGCTTGTTAAAGTCGCACGATTCTCATAAAATAGGCTGCACAATCTGAGATTGACATTTAGTTTTAATGGATGCTAAGGTTACGTTTCATTGTTTGATTTGCCTATCTGCAGATTGTAATAGATTTAAGCATCCCATTGAAATGCTGAGACTACCATTTTGAAGGAATGAGCCTGATATTTTATTCTAGTCTTTGTTATAGTAATGTTTTTTATTGATATGTTATTCTTATTAATACTTTTTGGTAATTATAATAGTATAATATTTATTCACTTAACATAATAATGGTTTTTTTTTATTAGAAACCAGTCTTTCATTCACAGAAATGAAAATATATATAGGGGCATACAAAAAACAGTCTAGCTAAAGAACACCACTTGAAAAAAGAGGCTCCAATCCAAAAGAATAACACCTAAGTCCCAATTGATAATTACAAAAACTCTTAGAAACCGACCCCACATAGAAGTATTAAACCTAACAAGCTCCTAAACATCCTCCCTTAATCTCTCCACCCTTAAAAGTTCTATTGCTTCTCTCCAACCAAAATCCCTACAAAGTAGAAAGAACACAATCTTGCCACAAGAAATTCAACATAATTATGTTAAATTCAATGAATGTTGCTATAATAAAAACCAATTGTTAAATCAATATAACTTTACTTATTAAATTTCTTCAGTTCAATTAATATTTATCATTGTTAATAGAAAAGGTGTTAGTGATGTTATTAACAACGAACTGTGTCCCCCTGCAGATTACATCCACCCTTACATTTTCTTCTGCATGTTCATCAGCTGGGATTACTGTCCTCATTGGCAATGATCTTGATAAGTGTGGTGTAAACCACTGCGTGCAGTTCGAGTCCGCCACTGCAATGGCCTTCCTTAGCTGGTTTGCTGTTTCACCTTCATTTCTCTTGAACTTCTGGTCACTGGCTTCTCGGTGAGATTCCACTGCGAAAAAGTGTGCTTCTTTTAGTTTTCTTTTTGTGACATCTCATACTTTTTGCTTCTTAATTATATAGCCCAAGTTTGGAAATTTTGATGTACATATGTAGATTTTTGCTGGGTTTGATTGAGAAATGAGATAATAACCAACAGCGAATAAAATCACTTCATTTCGATGAGAAATACGTATTCGTACTTGTTATTTACTTGTTCATGGTGATATGCTCGGATGATTCAATCTATGACTTTCTGGTACTTGAGGCTTTTTGGTTATGACTTGGGAAAATTAGGTCTGTAACTTCTTAAATTTGTAGTAGGTGGTGAATAACGTTGGTCTTCCCTCTTAGAAATGAGGTCTTCTTCCTGTTCAAAAAGTTCAGCTTAAATTCGCATCATCACCATACTCCAAATCTCATATTTTTTTGGGCATTTCCAAATAGTTTGAAGGGCCACCATCACCTATGAATCTATTGATCTTACAAGAGCAGTTAGCATCCCAAATAGCCTCACCATTTTATTCTCATTAATGCTTCAATCTTCTTTGCTATTCTCACATACAAATATCTGAACTTCTCTCCCTATCACACTTCGTAAGGGAATCACGGGAAGAGGGTGTCTCCTTACCTTAATTTCCGATATGATTTAGAAACTAGAACTATCCAAGTCCGCTATTGAAGTTCATTTTCTCCATCATTTCATCTCTCGAGTAATATCGATTCATTTTKTTTTCTAGGTTTACTTTGATGACTGAGTTGTCAAGCTTTTCATTCTTCCTATTGTTGGCCAGTTTAGCATAATATTTGACCTCCTGGCCTATAACTTTAGAAATATTTTTATAACTATATGAAAATTAAATTTAGAGGTTCAAATTCTTCCACTCTGCCCCATTGCTTTTTAGACATCAAGCATGCATAGATCACATTGGTGCTCTTATTAATGTGAGTTTAACAAAAATAAGCATGGTTAATCTTGTTACCCAGATTTAGTTATTATTTCAATTACATTTTTTTTGTTTTTTTAATATAAATAAAGCTTATTTACTTTGTTTAAAAAATTATAGTCAAATTTTAAAATCTAGGAAAAAAGCTAGTTTTTAATAATGAAATTATATATATATATATATTTAGATTTGATTAAAAATTCTAAACATTTTGAAAATGCGAAACTGAAACCCAATAAAGTTGCTAATTTGCAAGCTTAATTTTTATAAGATTAAATAATAAAAAAACAAAATAGGAATTGAACAAGGTGTTAATATTTCCGTAATAAAAACTTCATCTTCCTATCATGGAAAGAAATTTAATTGAATTCACTCTCCCTTTTACTCAATTTGTGTTATTTTTATTTGAACTCAGAAAACAAAAGATGAATTCAACTCGGTATTTAGGTGCCAACAAGAGCGGCTTAGCGGTAATTAATACTTCTTCTTTTGAAGTTGGAGATTCAATTTATTGTATTAAAAAAATTCTATATTTAGATAAATTTCGCGTCAAATTCAAGAGAAAATTGAAAACAATCATTAAAATCAATAGAAAGTAACTATAAAAATCAAATTCACCTATCGGTTTTAAAAGTTTGAAAACAATCATTAAAATCAATAAAAACTAACTAAAAAGTGAATACAACCAATCGAGATCAAATTAATATATCAGTTACATAGAAGAAAAAAGCGGGTATATGGCAAGTAGTTATATGTCTTCTCTATGACTCTTCTTTATTAGGGTTTGATTTTGAGGAGTTGGTGAGTACTTTTGTTCACGAGCTACAGCAATCACCTCGGATTGCGTAAGAAAGAGCGATCTCGTGGTCGGTGGGTAACGCGGTTAGTTTACACTATATATACACCCATCATAATACCTTAAAACTTACCCAAAAAAAAAAGTTATAGGCAGAATCAAAGATAGAGAGATTAGAGAGGTTTGATAATAATGTCTGCAGTTGATGATGAAAGAAGATTATATGAATGTGCAAGGAAGTACCAAATCATTGTGAAACAGGTACTGCAAACAAACACCATCCCCTTGATCTTCATGTTTCATATGATTATGCATTAATTGCATGGATCTAACTTCGATACCTTCTAATATGTACTAACCAAAGTTGGGTAAACTGAATCTTTGTTTTTTGATTTAGTTTGATCAATTGATTGAGATGATGGACAACAAGACGAAGGCTACAAGATTGTCGAAACGAAGGCGAAAGTCCTCTGTAAGAGCCCTCTTTAACATTAATTGATTCAAAATTTTGGTTACATTATTTATCGAGATTTTGAAAGTAAATTGGAGTAATATAATCTTGAAGTAGTTGAAGTAGAGCAGCGAGACTTATGTTAACTTAAATTTTGAGATCACAAGATTTTTTCATGAATTGTTTCTTTTTGTTGTTGTAGAGCCTAAGAGCAAGCGATTCGTCAACCATTGCGGCTCAGCCAACTCCAAGTTGTCAGCAAAATTATAATGATGACGATGCATTTGTGCAAACCATTACAAGATTTCTCCATGAACTGAGGACCGATCCAAGTGAATTAGATAGTTCGACTTGTACCTAAAACTAAGACTAATTTATTTATGTTATCATCTTAAATTCTAATATGAGATTGTGTAACATAACCTGAATTGAATAAATGAATGAATATGGTCATTATTGATAGTAAAATATATAAATGATCTAGCAAAATGTATGGATTTATGCAGAGGTTCAATTTTTTTAATTATTATTATTATTATTTGTAGTTATATTTGAGAAATTTGTGGARTGTTATATATATTTAAAGAGAGACAATAAAATTTAAGATTTATCTATAAGTTTTGGTATGGTGTACCAAATAGAACTAACCTTAAGATAAAATTTTCTAGAATTTTTTTTTCATAGAAACAATGTATTACTTTAGGGTGAGTGTACTCTCATTRAATGAATTGAACCTTAGTTTGCAATGATCTGGTCCCTGTACTTTTAATTTGATGTTATTTAGTCCATGAACTTTAGTATTTAAAATTTGTAACAAAAATTTAGTTTTTATCGTGAAAATTTTCGTTAAATTTCTTATGTATGTAGATCGATACATCAATGAGAGACCAAATGTATTTATAAATTATAAAAACTAAATTATTATATGATAAAAATCGACACCTAATTTTGATGAGATGTTTCATAGTTGAGACTAAATTTTTACAAATTTTAAACCATATGAACTAAATTGTTATTTATTAAATTTTATCAATTATAAGTGCAAGAATTAGATCATTAGTATAGAGAAAGTACAAGTACCAAATTTATATCATTACTTTAAGAAAAGTGCAAGGATGAAATGTACCTTTGAATGGGAGATAAAATCTATAAGAAATATTTTTTAATTCAATTTCAGACCCGAATCTGAAGGATCCAAAAACGAATTGGGCCATTTATCGTTTAAAAGGCCTAATGGGCCAGAAAAAGCCCAAAAGCTACTGAAATTCTGGAAGGACGAACGGAGGAGAAATGAGTAATTTCACAGCTCTGAACCTGTAAAACCCTAACTTTTAGACGTTCGTTAAAAACCTTACGCTGCCTTCGATCTTCGCCTCCGCTCATCCGTCATCTCCTCTGAACTCTGAAGTCCTTGTTCCAAACTAAATCCGATATTGAATTATGCCGCCGAAGTTCGATCCTTCGCAGGTTGTGGATGTTTTCGTCCGAGTCACCGGAGGTGAGGTCGGRGCGGCGAGTTCACTCGCCCCTAAAATCGGTCCTCTAGGTCTCTCCCCGAAGAAGATAGGAGAAGACATTGCCAAGGAGACGGCCAAGGAGTGGAAGGGCCTCAGGGTTACTGTCAAGCTTACTGTCCAGAACCGTCAAGCCAAGGTTTCGGTGGTTCCCTCCGCCGCTGCTCTGGTCATCAAGGCCCTCAAGGAGCCCGAGCGCGACCGGAAGAAGACCAAGAACATCAAGCATAATGGAAATATCTCGCTTGACGATGTTATTGAAATCGCTAGGGTTATGCGACCCAGGTCCATGGCCAAAGACCTCGGTGGAACCGTCAAGGAGATCCTCGGTACTTGCGTTTCTGTTGGCTGTACAGTCGACGGTAAGGACCCGAAGGATCTACAGCAGGAAATTACTGATGGGGATGTTGAAATTCCCCAAGATTGAGAGTGATTTTTCGCATTTGGAACTTACTTTGTAGTTTCAGTTTTGGATTTTAAATATGTTTGTTTTTATTATTGTCTTCAAATGACTATTATCTCCGGATACAAGGATTTATTAATGTTGGATGCTTCATTTTCGGGGATGGAAGCGTTGTGGTTCCATTTTGAACTGGAGTTCAGACTTTTTATTTATTCAAATCGTTGCATTTCCGGTCGTATTCTTGAGAATAGCTGTTCTATGATATCTTCTTTAGTCTGAACGCAGGGGCATAAATTTTCTGTCTTGAATGATTATCAGTTCTATTCATTTTTTGGTTCATTGCTCTTGAATTAGTGGTCTCGTTATAATTAAGCATTCTTTGGATTGTTAGTAATGTTTCTGAGCATAATATTTCTGTCTTTGAATTAATAGATTCCAGATGTGTAGGGTTCAGCTTTCTGTTTGCGCTTTCATAGGTGACCGAGTTTAGACTCCCTTTAAGTCATTATTCATTTGAAGTCATTAGCTACGTCTTAGGTTTGATCTTACAGTATCACACCTGTTGATCATTTTATTCAGATGTTCATAAAGATTTGTTGGGTAGTGCAGTGATGGTGCCAATTGCCAAGGTCTTCCAAAATGGGGTAGAAGTAGAAGGTTTATTTGTTTACTTGGGATAATGTTGTTGCGAAGGATCTCTAGACTTGAAATAGCTACTTAGCTGTGACATTTTGAATTCATCAAAATGTAGCCTAATTTGTAAGCTTGTGCCCTGTATTTTTCGGCTAAATCCTTTTCTTTGCCATATTGTTGTACTCTTTAGGATTTGAATTGCTTGTGCGTATTTGAGAAGCATATTTCTGGGTATCAGAAAAAGGAATCATTTCTCTTTGTGTACTTTTTGTGCTATTGGAGTTTGATGAATATTTAATTTAACTACTTATAATGAATTGAAACCGAGGCTGGTTTTTATGACGAGACTGTGAATTGGTGAAGTAAACAGGATTTGCTGCATTCTGGACCAACAGTCGTTATAGAATCATGTACTCAGCTCATTCGATAAGACATTAGTGGTTATTACAAATATTTTACGTGATTTGTATTGTTCAGTGATAGGTTGTTCGCTGTCATCATTCCTTGTAGTTTTTCCTTACAAAAAGCTTTGAGTAGCGGCTATTGTAGAACCACATGCCTAGTTCTCAAGCTATTGCATTGATAGGTAAGGCTTACCGGTGCTATAAAGCGGGCAATTTCATCCTTTGAAATTGTTACTCTAGAACTCTTTTAACTTGAGCTAGTGCAATTTATGATATATTTTGTTAAGAAAAGCCCCTCCGGTAAATTGCTTTGAATGATTAATATATCATTTATACTTGTGGATAAGCGTGAACTTGTCTCTGGATGGCAATTATCTTGTTTAAAAATCTGTAGAATGCCAGATATTGCCTCTTACATTGCAGACTTTCTAGTGGTGTTTTCAGCTTGGAGAACTGGTTCTCTCAATTTATGATTACCAGTGTAATCAACTAAATTGGTTGCAAAACCTTGCGTCATTAACTTGTGAATCATCCTTTTCTTGATCCTTCCCTCGGTATGGTTAAATCAAGATCAATCAAGTCACCGTAGCCATTTAGTAGTGGCCTAGATAAGAGTAGTTCAAGTTCTCTCTTTTACTATTTACATTTTTACAATATGTCTAAAGGGAGATGATTCATCACCTTTGAATTTAATTGAACTTTCAAAGGAAAACGCAAATCCTGAAAATGATGTTAATTTTTGGTAATTTTGTCATCTGCGGCTGTCGTTTCTTTCAAACAGGCAATGCTCAAAATAGTAGTTGGAAGCTAATTTTGGGCTTTCTATTTCTGATAGTTCCCCTGCATTTCTCCATGTACATTCAAGGCCACCTTTCTTTCCATTTTTACCTTATCAACTGCTTTCCTTATTTTGCTGCTTCCAATTTTCTTCTCTTCGAATGCCTTTATAAACTTCCTCCATCCTCATCACTTACTCAAATGTACATTACAGTTTCTTCAATTGACAGAAAAAGTAAAGTGGCATTGTCTTGATCTCTAGAAAGAAAGATACAATATCTCTCTCTTCTTTCTTGAACGAGGAGGAAGAGGGAAGATTCAAATAACCTTAGAAGAAAGCTTTGAAATTTCTCATCATTTCCCAATGGCGAAGCATATCATCATGAATCTGAGTTCTTGGGTTGAGGTTGCTCCAGTTCTAATCACTTACCCTCAGAAACCCTCTACCATCCCATCATTGGAACCCATTGTCGAAGAAGACATTGCCGAGGAATACGACGAGGATTCATAGCCTCTTTCATTAGTCTTTTACAGTTTCAGTTCCCTATATTCCCTGTTCTTGTGAATAGAGTCGATTTAAACGAACTCGAATCCACTTGCATCTCTGCCTTATATGCTATTATTGCAATCTGGGATTACGTTTGCAGGTTCTAAATGGATGGAAGCTTCGGAGAAGAAAACAAGTGCCATGGACAGAACTAGAACACAAATGATGTTAGAGATGATTGTGAAAAGTTAGCTTTTGAATTTTCTTTGATTAATGTATCTCCCAACCGAACCAACAACAGGATCGTTTGTTGGAATTCCAGGTCATTTCGTTCCCATTATGTTTTCTCACACACTGTAGTTTATTTATTGTGTATTCAAAAGATTTTTTCACACACACACATGTGATGAAAGCTATGGCGCGATCAATTGCTTTCCACGTGGTTTCATTTGTTGACCTACTCGGTTTCAGCCCCCTTTTATAAGGGAGAGCTCCATTCCTCACTTTCCCCATCAATCCACTTATCTTCACCCATCTCTGTACTCCCAGAAACAGAGCTCTGTTTTGGCTGATCGTCTGAATTTTTCTTTCTGGGAAAGAATCACAATCAAAGCTTCAACTCTGGGTTGAAAACAAACAAAACAATGGCAGAGAAGGTTCAAGTTCAAGTTTTGAGGTGTTTGGTGGAGAAATCTCCAGCTCTATTTGTTCTCCCAAACAAGGCCTCTCTCTCTCCTGCCTTGGAGACCATTGCAGAAGGGGAAGAAACTGAGGATTCCAATGAGAAAGAAGGGTCCTAGCCATTTTAGAACTGTAATTTGCAGAGGTGTAATAAAATTTCAGCATAAAGTTGAAGCCTTGTTGATGGGTTTTCTTTGTCAAGTGAACTTTGTTGCTATTTGTTTCTCTTTAATCCTTAAGTCTCTTTTGGAGGAACAAGGAGAAGAAAAAGAAGAAATACAGTATCAAAGTTTTCAATCTCTTGATGAATTTTCTCTCTATTGGCTCTCTATTTTTCTCTGTCTCTGATTGAAGCTAATTCTCTTGCATTAGGTTCTTGAGGTTCACTATCATTTACGAGAAATTGAAATCGAATGTTATATAATTATAAGACTTACAAACACTTACTGTATCTGTTTCTTTTTTTCCCTCTCTTTTGGACAGAACTTCAATGTTAGTTAAATGACAACCTCTGAGACCACATAACGAAAATAATATAATCACAGCATCTGTAAACACTTCGGGACTACTAAGGGTTATATGAGAAGAGAAATTATAAAAAATTATACACTTGACCAACAAAATAGTTTGATAATTCAAAGAACTAGGAATATAAACAAATTTAAGACCACTAAACACCTTCTCCAAGCTAAAGYGAGCATAGCTYAGTGGTAATTGGCATATGTTGTGAGTTTTTGTCAATTATAGCACCTGTATTCAGAATTGAAAGAGAAATAATTGCTTCCAAAGTTCTTTATTCTCCACCATGATACATAAGAAGGGTTAGACAAATTTTCTAAATCACCTAGTCACGAATCTCAATACAATTAAGACGGATAGCTTTTTCGAATTCCAAACGATGTTCGAGCCATATCGGTTCTATTTTAGTATAAGCTGTCTAACGATATTGTATAAGTTAATTTACATATAAGATAATTTTATATCTGAGAACGTGAATAAATTATTATTTTCCTAATGATAATAAGTTAATAGTGTTTCAATAGGTAAACCATTGAGTCTCCCTCTTTCCTCTTTACTGCCAATTTTGACCACCTAAAGTATTAGTTAAATAAATATATGTTCCTCTCTTTATAAATTTACTTTTATTATTTTATTTTTGTTAAAAATAAGAAGTTTCAACAAAGTAGAAATTAAATTTAAATGAATAAAGAGACCTCACTTTTGACCCATATTAATTCTTGTTTTTCTTATAAATAAGATTTTTTTTAGGAGAGTTTTTGTCATAAAAAAGCTAAAGAGGTAGAAATATTGATATATTATAAGGGATTCTATATTTTAGACTAAACTACTATGTTAGTCTATATAGTTTTAGAAGTTCTAATATGGTTCTTATCAAATTATGATTAAGTTAAGTTTTCTAAACCGTCCAACATTACCAAAAGTTTCTTATCCCAATGACACAGTTTTTTGGCTTTGATAGACAACACACCATGGTGATATCTAAACAAAAGTTGATTCGACGAGAGAAAATTGTTAACATTTAGAAAATTGAAGAACAATGRAGAGATTTAACCAACCATTAAAAAACTTCACTTAGTATTAAAGTTAATGCGTTATTTGTTTTGAATTTCTAAAGAGAGAACTTCTTCTTTCTTCTAGTAGATGGATAAAGATTTCTTACCTTTGACAAAAAATGAAGAAAAATATAGAGAGACATTTGATATGGTATGGTTACGTTATATTAGAATTGGGAGTGAGCTATTTTAATATATATATATATATATATATATATATATTTTTACTAGTTTAATTTTTTCCCACATAACTATTGTTGGTAACATTTGTCAAAATAGAAAGTGAGTGAAATATATAGACTTCAAAAAGATGCGTGTGAAAATAAGAACTCTCCCATTGGCTAGAAACACAAATTTCTTTCTGGGTGCCTATTAATTCCAAGCTATTGAAAAAGAAAGCAAGAAAACACCATAATATATATATATATATATATATATATATATATATATATATATATATATATGTGTGTGTGTGTGTGTGAGAGGAGTTCATCAAACTTTTACTTTACATGTGGACTAGTTAATTAATTACATTAGTCAAGAATATTTGGTAAAAAAGTGAGAAAATAGAAAAAAACAGAAAACAAAAGTGCTAGTTTTTTAATTCTCCTTTTTGGGCATAGCGTGGGAGAAGCGTAGGGTAGTTGTTGGAAGGTCATTTCAAGTACTGATTTTTGGTTAGAATTT